TATATATATATATATATATATATATATATATATATATATATATAGACACATGTATGTACTATACACACATGTTCCTCTATGTGTTCCTCTGTTCTTTGTGACTTCCTTCTGGCATATCCGCCCTTCTGTGTTCTGTGTGCCCTGCTGCTGTACCACATCCTGCTATCAGAAGCAACACCAGCACCTGCCTGCCAACCAGAGGGTGACACGGGAGTGAATTTTCAAACCTCTCCCGTACCACTCCCACAAAAAAAATCCCATCCCATCCCAATCCCATAAAAGAACTGGGGGAAAATCCCGTCCCGTGCCAATCCCAGAAGAATGACTCCCATTCCCTCCCACTCCCGTGTTTTTGGCTGGAATCTGTCAGTTACAGTAAAAAAAAAAAATAGAGTACAGATCACAGCATGCCCAGCTTAGTTGAATAAAAATCCAAAATGTAATTTATTTTATTGAACTGAAAGTCATCTTAACAATGCACAGTGTGTTTCATGTTGAATTTTATGCAAATCATCCATCCATCCATCCATAAACACACACACACACACACATTATATAAACACACATTATAATTTTCACTGAGTTTCTATTACAATGGAGTCCCACTGTTGCTATGCAAGAACAAGAGAGTGTCCACACATTCTGGACTGAGACTGGTGCGCCTCTCTTCAATTCATCTTCCAGCAACACTGAAGCTCCTCTCTGACAGGGTACTTGTTGCTGGGATTGCCAGCAACTTCCTGGCAACTGGCACCAGCCCACCTGACATGAAGTTGAGAAGGGACTGACCGGTCATCTTTGTAGGCTCGTTCATATATTTCAGCACCAACTGGCGGCTCCATGACTCGTTAGTGTTTCCACGGTCCTCCCTCTCCTCCTCCAGCTTGAGAAGAAACTGTGCACCTCTGTGCCTGTGGCCACTAGGTGCGGTGGGTCTTTTGAGAAAAAAAGAAAGATTGTTATGGTACAATCGAGGTTGCGATATAGGCATAATGCTTCATATAGTGCTAAATACTCGTCTTTTATTGATGGAGGTAATGTACAACTTGTAGGTAGGTACTGACTGAGTGTATGTGTGTGTGATAGAACATTTTATAGTTATTTTAGAAATTTCCTTAGAGTGCACTGTCTATTCTTAGTACTACACTATGAGTTACCCTGTCGGTTCTCTCCTCTATCCCTACTTTTTCTGCGATTCCTGCCAGAGCGTTGATAACCTCTTCATATTCCTCAGCATTGAGAGTTTTTCTTAAGAAACACCTCAGGCTAGGAGAGAGTGCTGTGGCTATCTTGTGGTAGAGGTGGATTTTGAATTTCAGTTCCACTGCCTGGCCTAATATCCTTTTCAGCTAGGAGGAGGAAAAATAAAATTACATTTACACAACTCTGTTATTGGATAATGGCCATCTTCTATTAGTTACCAGAATGACCAACAAAACAATTAAAATGAGGACTGTATTATATTACCTCTTTAACAATAACACTGTCTCCATCCTGAAGCAACAAACCCCTTAGCAGGGTTGCCTTGGTTGGGAGGACCAGATGAAGAGTAGGTGTCTGATCAGTGGAGAGGTGCCTGGTAGCCTCATCAAAAGGTTCCAGAAGTACGGATAATGTCTTCAAGAAGCTCTGGGTCTATGCCGTTGACATGCAGCTTACCAGACAGCAGAGCATCCCTTACAGATTGCAGCATTGCAAGTCTGGTATTCCACCGCGTTTCCACAGCTTGCTTAAGTGATCTGTCTAGTGCTTTTTGTAATCTGAAATTCAAGAAAGAGACAGTGTACATGAAGTAAGGTGATGAAATCTCAGGTCAGTTTGCTGACAGATTAAAATATTTGTTAGTTTAAAATTGTTTGTTAAAAAAGTTTAACAGCAGAACAGTTGAGTCAAAATACAAAGCTTGCTGAACAAGAAAATGTATTAATTACAGCAGTTGTTTTAATGTTGATTTAATGTCAACACTTTACAATTAGGTGTCATTTGTTAACATTAGTATTAGTAATATATTAACTAACATGAGCAAACAATGAACAATACATTTATTGCACTATTTATTCATCTTTTTTAACGTTAAGAAAATACAGTTGCTCATTGTTAGTTCATGTTAGTTCACAGTGCAATAATGTTAAACGGACTGCATTTATATAGTGCTTTTCTACTCCTATGAGCACTCAAAGTGCTTTACAATTTATGCCTCACATTCACCCATCCACACTCATATTCATACACCAGTGGTGGAGGCTGCCATGCAAGGCACCAACCTGCAAACTGGGAGCAATTTGGGGTTCAGTGTCTTGCTCAAGGACTCTTTGATGGGGTCAGGAAGAACCAGGGCTCGAACCTGCAACCTTCCAGTTGCTGAACGATAGCACTACCTCCTGCGCCACCATCTTCCTCATATGGGCTCCCCCTTTGAGTCTGGTCCCTCCCAAGGTTTCTTCCTTCTAGGGAATTTTTCCTTGCCACTGTCGCCTATGGCTTACTCACTGGGGGCTTTGGGTGGGGATGCTGTAAAGCCTTTTGGGACAATGTAATGTTGTGATAATGCGTTATACAAAAATAAATTTGTTGTTGTTGTTTTTCAGCTATTTTTACAGGCCCTTGCTCTTTCATTTCAAAACGTCCCAAAAATCTGCCATTGCCATCTTATACTAGGTATAACAGAGTGTAAGCAGACTGATTTTGGTGAATTTTTAGTGTAGCATTTTTTAATAATTACCTCCTAAACTTGGCATCCCACTCCATTCTATATGGGTCGGATTGCATTTTTCAGCTATTTCTAGAGACCCCTGCTCTTTCATTTCAAAATGTCCCAAAAATCTTATAGTAGGTATAACAGAGTGTAAGCAGACTTATTTTGGTGAATTTTTACTGTAGCATTTTTTCATAATCACCCCCTAAACTTGGCACCAACACTCCATTCTACAGTATATGGGTCTGATTGCAGTTTTCAGCTATTTCTAGAGGCCCCTGCTCTTTCATTTCAAAATGTCCCAAAAATCTTATAGTAGGTATAACAAAGTGTAAGCAGACTTATTTTGGTGAATTTTTACTGTAGCATTTTTTCATAATCACCTCCTAAACTTGGCACCAAGAGCTTGGATCATTTTATTATATAGTCTAGTGTTTGTTTACTGATAGACAAAGACAATGAAAGGACAAATTAATCAATAATTTATTTGTAACAGGATTATTTATTTATAAAATAACACACCACAGATCCTCAAGAAACAGTAACAAAATCATAGTGACAGAAATTGACAGACCTTTTTTATTTATAAGAAAATGTGTTTTAGATATTTTTGATAATTTAATGATAATTTCTAAATATGATCCAACATACACCAAATGGAATTTTACGTTAGTATTTGACTGAGGTACTGAGCCGGTAAGTGGTCACGTGACAAAAGAACGAACGACTTGAAAGACTTGAGAGATGAACTAATCAATTCTGTTTCCGGCTCAGACTGCATAGGTTAAGCTTATGGGGCTGTCACGTGATGAACGAACGACTCAAACCCGAAGACTCGAGAGATGAACTAATCAATTCTGTTTCCGGCTCAGACTGCATACTAGGTTAAGCTTATGGGGCTGTCACGTGATGAATTCCCGAAAAAATGTCAGCCTCTACTACCAACCACACTTAGACTTGAACCTTAACATTTATACAGTGTGAATTAGTATTTTGCCATCTTGTTCATTTGACTTCCTCTGCTGGCCCTTGGAGGATGGGCTTCCCTTCTGGGTCTGATACTTCCCAGGGTTTCTTCCTTCTAAGGAGTTTGCCACTGTCACCTCTGGTTTGCTCACTGGGGGTTTGGACAGGGATAATGTAAAGCTCTTTGAGGCATTGTAATGCGAATGAAATTGATGAAATTGAACTTAATAATTTTTCCCATATCTCAGGTTAATTCATATTACTATAACAAAGCTAATGATTTCA